GGGAGGCAGGGGGAGGAGGAGGAGGAGGAGGAGGAGGACCAGTGTAAACCCAAGACTCACCAACGATGTTGGAAGAACCCCCCCCCCAATGTCCTTCTTTATTAGCCCTTACAACGGTTCATTTCCACAGAGGGAACTGCCTCGTTGGAAGACAACTGTTTGAAGACCCTGAAGCATGCCAAAATATTATTCTCGGTATTCCAACGCCACGGATGAACCTGCTTGTTGCGTCTTGACCATCCTGAATCGTGCCAGAACGCCATTCCTGGGACCGTAACTCCTCGAATCATCGTAACTGTTGCGCCCTCGAAATCGCTAATCCTTCCGAAACACCAGTTCTGGTATGTCGATCATGGGAATCCGTTGAACTCTTGCAAATGTTTAATCAAATGTGCGCGTCGCCAGGGCGAGAGCCACATTTTGAAAACGGCCCACCCTCAATCCGTAAAACTCTTGCAAATGTTTGAAACAAATGTGCGCGGCACTAGGCGAGAGCCACATTTTGAGAAGAAACCGCCCTCAATCAGTGAAACTCCTGCGACTGGTTAGAATGAATGTGCGCAGCGCTCAAGCGAGAGCCACATTTTGGTGACGACTCGCCCTCAATTCGTGAAATGCTTGCAAATTTTTAGAACGAATGTGCGCGGCGCGAAGGCGAGAGCCACATGTTGAAAGCCACCCGCCCTCAATCCGTGAAGCTCTGGCAAATGGTTGAATCAAATGTGCGCGGCGATTTTGAAAACGAGCCGTCTTTAATTCGTGAAAGTCTTGCAGATTGTTTAAATCAAATGTGCGCGTCGCTAAGGCGAGAGCCACATGTTGAAAAAGACCCGCCTTCAATTTGTGAAATTCTTGCAAATGTTGAAACGAATGCGCGCGGCGCTAAAGCGAGATCCACAGTTTGAAAACCATCCGCCCCCAATCCGTGAAGCTCTGGCACATGCTTAAATCAAATGTGCCCGTCGCCAGGGCGAGAGCCACATTTGAAAAGCATCCGCCCTCAATCCGTCAATCTCTGGCAAAAAAATAAGATTAACTGTGCGCGGCGCTAAAGCGGGAGCCACATTTTGGAAACGACCCGCCTTCAATCCATGAAGCCCTTGCAAATGTTAAACAACGAATGTGTGCGGCGCTAAGGCGAGAGCCACATTTTGAAAACGACCCGCCCTCAATCCGTGAAATTGTTGCCAATGTGTAAAACGATTGTGCGCGTCGCCAAGGCGAGAGCCATATTTTGAAAAGACCCGCCCTCCATCTGTGACATGTTTGGACATGTTGAAGTTTCAGGGTCACAAATGGTGAGGCAGTCTGAGGCGAAACGCCCCGCCCGCCCTAACAATTGGCCTCGGGGTGCGACAGGGAGGAGTTATGTAGAAAGAAAAGGACTGCAGGAGGAGGAGGAGGACGACGTCGAGGAGGAGGAGGAGCAGGAGGAGGAGGAGGAGGAGCAGGAGGAGGAGGAGCAGGAGGAGGAGGAGGAGGAGGAGGCGGACGACGAGGACGACGAGGAGGAGGGCCCGTGCCCGCCGGGAGGCCACGCCGCTGCCTGGCTCCTCCCCGGGCCTGGGCGCCCCGCTCGCGGGCGGCGTGAAGCCCCCCACCATGGGCGCCGTGGGCGGGCTTGGCGCCGCGAACACGGCCTGCGCACCGCCCCCCGCCGCCCCTCGGGGGACCCAGACCCCCTCGAGTCCTCCTCCTCCTCCTCCTCCTCCTCCTCCTCCTCCTCTCCTCCTCCCCTCCTCCTCCTCCTCCTCCTCCTCCTCCTCCTCCTCCTCCTCCTCGTTCGTCGTCCTCCTTCTCGTCGTCTTCGTCGTCGTCGTCCTCCTCTTCCTCCTCCTCCTCCTCCTCCTGGCAGCGGCGCGGGTCCTCCGCGCGCCAGTGTTCTGTGGTCGGGAGCCGGCGGACACGTCCGCCGCCCCCCAAAAAATTGGACGGTCCCCCCAGGGTGGCCGACTGTCTGACACAGCGGGACCCAGGAGGGAGGGGCCTGCCATCCCTCCTCAATCCCTCCTCGACCCCCCCTCCCCCGCCCCCCCCTCGCCCCCCTTCATCAGGCCCTGCCCGGGGAGGAGGGAGGGAGAGGCATCCCGAGGAAGGATGGGGCGAGGGAGGGTGGAGAGCCAGAGGGGGACGGGAGGGGGGGGGGACAGCGGGGGCTGAGAGCCCGAGGAGGGGCGTGAGGGGGGGTGGGGGGCAGCGCAAGGAGGGGGGCGGTGAGGGGGGAGAGGGGGGGGCAGAGGGCGCACCCCTGCTTCTTCGACGGCGCGAGGGCCCGATCCACAGCTTGCGGGTGTGAGGCCAGCGCCTGCTGAGAAGCAGCCTCCTTCCGAGAAGCCGCCCTCCCCCCCCCCTCCCCCCTGCCCCCCTGTGGTGCGCGCCGCCGATCGTGCTTCCCTGGGGGGCCACCTGCGGCTCCCTCGGGCCTGCCGGGTGCCAGGGCCGCGGAGCGAGCACGGCTCTGGCGCTCCCTCGCTCGGTCCCACGGGCGATTGCACAGCTGCCGCTCGTGGGTCCCGCCCGGCCGCGGCCGCTGTCGGTCTTGGACCGTAGGTGTTGATAGGTGCTGTTGGGCATCGTGCTTCTTGCTGATGACTCCCATACCCACCTCGGGCGTGCCAGTGGGAGGTTGCGGGTCGAAGTTGGGGAGGAGGAGGAGGAGGAGGAGGAGGAGGAGGAGGAGGAGGAGGAGGACCGAGGATCGAGAAGGAGCATCGAACAGTAGGAGCAGGAGGGGGACAGAACCCAGGATCGAGGAGGAGGAGGAGGACGACGAGGACGAGGAGGAGAATGAGGAGGAGGAGGAGGAGGAGGAGGAGGAGGAGGAGGAGGAGGAGGAGGAGGAGGAGGAGGAGGAGGAGAGGGGGCACGGGGAGGGACAGGGAGCGAGCGCTAACGCTGCACACGCCTTGCCTGCCGAAAACGGGCGCACACCCCTAGCCCCTCGGGCACATTGCACCTTCACCTTCACTGTAGGTCCTCGTCATCGCTCGAGCTGCTGCTGCTGCTGCTGCTGCTGCTGCTGCTGCTGCTGCTGCTGCTGCTGCTGCTGCTCCAGCTGGGACTGGGCGAGACGTCCACGTGGTTGGGCGGCGTCGGCTCTGCTGGACGCGCTGCCTGGGGACCCCTTTGCACGGCCCATACACCTGGGGGTAGGTGTGCTCGCTCGTGCCCTTGTTCGCCATGGGCTTACCCATGAGCTTCCGCAAACGGCTGACCATCACGCTGTTAGACGGCGCAGGAATGCTGGATGTCACGCTCGTGTGGCTCTTCTTGCCGATCTTCACATTCGTCGACTCATTGTTGGCGAACTGGTCCTCGACTTGAGGGATGCTTGTGTCTTGAGTCCAGCCCAGTGGCTGAGACGGCGCATTTCTGGAGAAGCGCCCACAACGGACGCCAACTCGGCCCTGACACTTCAGACGTCAACTCGGCCCGAAGACTACGTTCGCTAAGCAGCCGAACGCAGTGGTCAATTCAGCTCCAACAGTTCGTTCGTCACGACTCGACTTGTGTCGTCATCGTCGTCGTCCTCGCGTTTGTCCCGCAAGACGGCTCGCATGGTTCTCGGCTCTGCGCCAGGAGCAGCCACGCAAGCGGCGGGCTGCAGCGCGCGCCGCGGCGGCGGCCCCGTTGCCCACGGCGGCGGGGGCCCACGCCAGGGCGGCGCCAGCGACCGCGCGCGGGACGCCCTCCGCGGGGGCCCTGGTCGGGCCAACCTCCGCCGCGGAGGTCAGCTTCAGCGGCCGTGCTGCAGCCCGTTTCCAGACTCCGGTCGGCCCATCGCCAGCGCCGGGTTGGGCGAGACCGAACCCCGTCCCCGCGTCGCGCCGGAAACGAGGTGGGATGGCTAGAGGAGGAGGCGGATCCTCGAGGAGGAGGAGGAGGAGGAGGAGGAGGAGGCGGAGGCGGAGGCGGAGGAGGAGGAGGAGGAGGAGGAGGAGGAGGCGGAGGCGGAGGAGGAGGAGGAGGAGGCGGAGGAGGAGGAGGAGGAGGAGGAGGAGGAGGAGACGAGGCTCGAGGAGGAGACGAGGTGGAGGAGGAGGGCCGGGGGCCGAACCGGAGGAGGAGGCCCGAGGTTCGAGGAGGAGGAGGAGGAGGAGGAGGAGGAGGAGGAGGAGGAGGAGGATCGAGGAGCAGGAGAGGAACAGGAATGGGCAGGAGGGCCGAGGCTCCCAGAGGAGCAGCGAGGAGGATCGAGGAGGGCGGAGGTTCGCGGAGCTGGGCCCCGCGGCCGCGCACGAGCCGTTTCGGGCCCGAGGGGCGCCGCCGGGCCCATCCCAGGCGAGGCGTCTGCGCCCGGGCCCCGCACTGCGCCGCGGGAGGGAGGGGCCGGGTGCAGCGTTCAGGGGGGGCGGGATCGAGCAGTGGCGAAGCGTCTTGGCTCGCCTATAGCCCTACCGAGCAATGCTCTAGGAACCTTTTTGTGGCTTCCACGAGGTGTTCTTCGACCATGTCTGGCGGAGCCTGTCTTGTTTTGACACATCTGGCTCGGCTTATGTTCTAAGAGCATCGTTTTTGTTCTTGGAACATCTGGGGGTTCTAAGAACCTTTCGTGGTAGGACTAATAGGAGTGCCGGGGCGGTCGGTCCCTGCTCAAGTTTTGGGGGGGAGGCCGGCCCCGCGGGAACGAAGTTCCTGGAGGTCCTGGCGTCGCAGTGGTTTCGCAGCGGGCGTTGTCGCCCAGCTTCGGGCCCTAAGCACCCTCACAGATCGATCCGCCTCGAGGAATGGCGCAGGAATATGGGGTCGAGGGCTCCGGTCGTGATTTTTCGCAATGTTGCCATTGTTCTTCAATGTTGGATTTCAGGGCTTTGAGGTTCTCAACCCGGTCCCCCTCGAGTCACGAGAAACAAAGCACGACGGGAGTTCCCTGCAACACGCATCTAAAAATAAATTATCCCGGCGAAGCAACCTAACAGCGATGTGTATAAGCATATTTGGAAGCATTCCCCTTAAGATTCAGGTGAGAATCCAGTTGTAGAATTCTGCTGTTCTCGCAGTCGCAGTCGCATTCGCAATGACAGTCGCAGTGCCAACGGCCTCAGGATCCAATGGAATCCTAAGGATTCCTAGGGATTCCTAAGGCATCCTTAGGCATCCTTAGGAATCCATAGGAATCCTTAGGAAACCTTAGGAATCCTTGGGAAACCTGATTCCTAGGGATCCCTAGGGAATCCTCAGGGTTCCTAGGGAATCCTAAGGATTCCGAAGGATTCGCCTGCCTCGGCCTCAGCCTCAGCCTGCCTCAGCCTCAGCCTGTCACAGCCTCAGCCTCAGCCTGTCTCAGCCTCAGCCTGCCTCAGCATCAGCCTCAGCCTCAGCCTCAGCCTGCCTCGGCTTGCCTCGGCCTCAGCCTCAGCCTGCCTCGGCCTCAGCCTCAGCCTCAGCCTGCCTCAGCCTCAGCCACAGCCTGCCTCAGCCTCAGCCTCAGCCTGCCTCAGCCGCAGCCTGCCTCAGCCGCAGTTTGCCTCATCCTCAGCCACAGCCTCAGCCTCAGCCTCAGCCTGCAGCTTCAGCCTCAGCCTCAGCCTGCCTCGGCTTGCCTCAGCCTCGGCCAGCCTCGCCTCAGGCCTCAGCCTCAGCCTCAGCGTCTCAGCCTGCCTCAGCCTCAGCCTCGGCCTGCCTCAGCCTCAGCCTCAGCCTCAGCCTGCCTCAGCCTCAGCCTGCATCAGCCTCAGCCTAGCCTCAGCCTCAGCCTCAGCCTCAGCCTCAGCCAGCAGCCTCAGCCTCAGCCTGCCTCGGCCTCAGCCTCAGCCTGCCTCAGCCTCAGCAGCTCAGCCTCAGCCTCAGCCTCAGCCTCAGCCTCAGCCTCAGCCTCAGCCTGCAGCCTCAGCCTGCCTCAGCCTCAGCCTCAGCCTCAGCCTCAGCCTCAGCCTGCCTCAGCCTCAGCCTCATCAGCCTCAGCCTCAGCCTGCAGCATCAGCCTCAGCCTCAGCCTCAGCCTGCCTCCAGCCTCAGCCTCAGTCAGCCTCTCAGCCTCAGCCTCAGCCTGCATCAGCCTCAGCCTCAGCCTCAGCCTGCCTCAGACTCAGTCTCAGCCTGCCTCAGCCTCAGCCTGCCTCAGCCTCCTGAGCCTGCCTCGACCTCAGCCTCAGCCTCAGCCTCAGCCTGCCTCAGCCTCAGCCTCTCAGCCTCAGCCTGCCTCAGCATCAGCCTCAGCCTCAGCCTCAGCCTGCCTCGGCTTGCCTCGGTCTCAGCCTCAGCCTTCCTCGGCCTCAGCCTCAGCCTCAGCCTGCCTCAGCCTCAGCCTCAGCCTGCCTCAGCCTCAGCCTGCCTCAGCCTCAGCCTCAGCCTGCCTCAGCCGCAGCTTGCCTCAGCCTCAGCCTCAGCCTCAGCCTGCCTCGGCTTCAGCCTCAGCCTCAGCCTGCCTCGGCTTGCCTCAGCCTCAGCCTCAGCCTGCCTCGGCCTCAGCCTCAGCCTCAGCCTGCCCCAGCCTCAGCGTCAGCCTCTCAGCCTCAGCCTGCATCAGCATCAGCCTCAGCCTCAGCCTGCCTCAGCCTCAGCCACAGCCTGCCTCAGCCTCAGCCTGCCTCCGCCTCAACTTCAGCCTGCCTCGGCCTCAGCCTGCGTCAGCCTCAGCCTCAGCCTGCCTCAGCCTCAGCCTGCCTCAGCCTCAGCCTCCGCCTGCCTCGGCGTGCCTCAGCCTCAGCCTCAGCCTGCCTCGGCCTCAGCCTGCCTCGGCCTCAGCCTGCCTCAGCTCGGGCATTCAAAATATGGCACAGGACTCGTGCTCTGGGAACATGAAGATCACGAAGTGGCCCACCGTTGGCTGGAATGGTGTTCCCACGAAGAACACAAAGTGACTTACAGCTGGCTCCGGGCATTCAAATTGTGTCCTGGGAATGGTGTTCTGGGAACACAAAGAACACGAAGTGGCCTACAGCTGGCTCCGGGCATTCAAATGTGGCCTGGGAATGGTGTTCTGGGAACACGAAGAACACGAAGTGGCCTATTCAAAATGTGGCCTGGAAATGGTGTTCTGGGAACACGAAGAACACGAAGCGGCCTACAGTTGGCTCCGGGCATTCCACATGTGGCCTGGGAATTGTGTTCTGGGAATGGATTCCTAAGCATTCCTAAGAATTCTTGAGGATTCCTAAGGATTCCTCTGGCTGTAATTACGTTTGTCCGGTTCCTTGTCCGGATCCCGCCCAGACCCCCTTGGGGCGTCAAGATGCTCTCTTTTGCTCCCACTAGAAACCTATCAGCAAAAGCTGTTAGGTAAAGATGCGTTTAGATGCGATCGCGCCCTGTTGCAGGCAAGAAGCCCATTGTATCTAATAGTCTGCAGGGGCGACACTTATATACATACGCACACCTGTATGTATGTATGTATGTATGTATGTAGATGTGTATATATATATATGTGTATATATAGTATATATAAGATATTAGATGCGTCCCCTGGCCTGCACGGGAACGCCGCCGTATCTAAACGTGTTTGTTTTTTTTTCAGCATAGCAAAACATTTGGGACTGCACCTATTCTTTTCTCAAGAAAACATCTCTATCCGTATCGATTTCCAAACAGAATGGCGCTGCTGCGCCGTATACATTCGTATATAATTTTGTCTGAACGGATGCTGTTGGCTGTGCTTTCGGAGCGAACAGGATCTATTATACAGGTCGAAGCAATGAACAATGGGATGGGGATGGTGGGAAGCCGTAGCGATGAGGAGTGAGGAGATGAGCGACGACAACAAAAACGTCGAGGAGCAGGATGGATAACATCGATGAAACCAGCTTGAGGAGAGAATTGGGAAGGAACAGGGAACACTAGGAGGGGGAGAGCAAAGAGGGGGAGGAGGCGGAGGACGAGGACGAAACGGATGCGTCAAATCGACGGTGAAGGGGGTGCTGCGGGCAAGGAAAAGAGCAGATGAACACCGAGGAGGGTGGATGAGGAGGATCCAAGAGGAGTGAGGAGCGAGAATGGTCGATCGCGGGTGTGCGCAGAGGACTCGAAGGACGATCGTGACGGCGGTAATGGGGATGACGAGGAGGAGCATGAGGCTGACCATTGCGGGGGAGCGCCGATGAGGTTGACGAACATGGGGAGTAAAACGCGGGAGTCCTGAGGGCGAAATTTGGAGGTGTTCGGGGGAGTTGGAGGAGGAGGAGGAGGAGAAATGTGAGGACGAATAAGAGGCGTGAGGAGGGATAGTAAAGTTGATGAGGGTGCATAAGGATCATGATCTGGAGGCATGGGGGAGTGATTTGGACGATGAGCGCGGGCGAGGGGGAAGATGAGGGGCGCGCGGCGAGGAGGCAAGAAGAGCGAGGTGGATGGAGTAGGAGGGAGCGCCAGGAGGATAACGTGGAGGAGGAGGAGTCAGGACGGGGACGGAATAGAGCAATGATTGAAGAGAATGGTTCCTCTGCTTCGTCCTCCTCGTCACCGTGATCGTTCGGGTCGCCCGCCGTGCCCCCATATCCCATCGGTTCGTCATGATTTCTCCCTCCTCTTGGTCGTTGGCGTTCTGACTGGCATGTGTATTGTCTTCCTGTTCGTGGTCATTGAGCGGCATGGGCATGGCAGTGATATGGTGCCGCATATATTCGTAGTTCTGTTTGGTAAACACGTTTCCCAACGGTGGGCGCCATATTGAACCGTATATAAACACACATATATATATATATATATATATATATCAGTATCCCAAAAAATGGCCCCGCATCTAACACTAGTAATCGAACATACCTCCCGTATCAAAACAAACAAGCAATCGTATCTAAACGTATCTGTTTCTGACAGATATCTACTCGTATCTAATTCTCTTAACGAAAACGCTGTAAAACTCAGGTGGTCAGGGAGGAATTCTACATGCCTTGCGGCCCTTCCGAACGCAGCTGCCGCTCGGGAAATGAGCAACCAAGATAGATGTTTAGATGTGCTTGTATCTCTACGTTCGGCCTCTGCGGGCCTTTGCTGGGCGTCGGGACCGTAAACAAAAACTGCTCAAGATGGAAAACCGGCCCCAGGGAATGGGTCGAGACCTCTGGGGTCGACGTCATGTGAAAATCACGACGTCGAGGGTCTGGGAGAGGTTCGAATTTCGAGGTTTTCAGGCGCGTTCGTCGGTTTTCGGCGGCTTCCCAGCCTCAGGATGCCTTCCAGCGGCGGCGCCTCGCCGCGAGCGTTCCGGCTGCGCTCAGATCGCGCCGAACTCGGCCATTGGAGTCCCTTGTTCCGAAAGCCCCCGGGGACGGGGATAGGCTCCCCCGATATCCGACGTTGCAGAAAAATTGCAACGTCGCAGAGAATCACGACCGGAGCCCTTGACCCTATCTTTCTGCGTTATGTTTCGAGCTGGGTCGATATGTGAGGGTCCTGGGGCCCGAAACTAAGCGAAAACGCCCGTTGTGAAACAGTTGCGACGCCAGGATCTCAGGGATAGGCTCAGGGGGGAACGCATCGACCCCCGCTCGCCCATCGATCGCCGCAGGCCCGCCTACGATTCCCATTTGAATCAATTTGGCTCGATTCCCAGACCTCCTCGCGTTGTGACAAACATCACGACGGATGTTTTTTTTCGCTGTTTTCGGCCTCCAGAGGCCATTCCGGGGCCTCGGGACCGTCAAGAAACGACTCAGGATGAAGAGCCGGTCCTGGGGACGGGGTCCAGACCTCTCGGGGTCGAAGTTGCGAAAACATCGCGCCATTGGGGGACCGGACTCACCAGCATCGGCCCGGGCCAGCCAGAGCCTGGCGCGGCGGTTCGATCGAGATTCGACTCGGGGCACGCCGCTTGCGATGGCATCCATGCCCCACGCGGCCCCATGCCCGATGCCCGAGCCAGCCTTGGCCTGCCTGGGCCTGGCCCCCCCCTTGATCGTTGCCCCCCGAAACGGAGGGGTTGTGGTGGCTGCCTTGATGGGCTTGCTATCCACCACCACCACCATCAGCTGGAGGGGGGAAGAAGGCGGAGGATGAGGAGGAGGAGAACAAATAGGAGGAGGAGGAGGAGGAGGAGGAGGAGGAGGAGGAGGCGGAGGCGGAGGCGGAGGAGGAGGCGCGGAGGCGGAGGAGGAGGCGGAGGAGGAGGAGGAGGAGGAGGAGGAGGAGGAGGAGGAGGAGGCGGAGGCGGAGGCGGAGGCGGAGGAGGAGGAGGAGGAGGAGGAGGAGGAGGAGGAGGAGGAGAGGAGGGGAGGGGGAGGGGAGGGGGAAGGGGAGGAGGAGGAGGAGGAGGAGGAGGAGGAGGAGGAGGAGGAAGAAGAAGAAGAAGATGACCCCCTCCCCATCTACGTGTGGTGGTGGCGTTGGAAAACAACCTTACCATGCCTCCTCCCGAGGAAGGAAACACGGCCCGAGCATGATTTCTCGAAGCCCCGCCCGGGATTCTTGGGTCGGCGTTGGCTCCCCTGCCGGCGCCGCGGCGCCTCCCGTGGCACCGATACGAGAAGTCCCCGCGGGGCGCCGAGAAGTCATGTCTGTGCCGCTGCTTCGGTTTCAAATCATGGGAGCCTTGTGTACCTTCGTAATTCCGTAATGCGGGATGACGATTAATAAAACATTGGAGAGAGCAATAAAAAAAACAAATTCTGCTATTTCTGCACAAATTCCTGACTGGAGGAGAACGATTTAAAAAAATAGTTGTCCAGCCCGCGGCCGGTTTTTTCTAATCGTCATCCCGGGCGCCGCCGCGTGAAAACGACCCCCGGTCATTTACTAATCGTCATCCTACATTATTTAGCGTCGACTAGATTCGATTAGCGTTTGGGAGTCGACGAGACAGCCACGATTTGGCGTCGGCGAGCGTCGATCAGCGTCGTTCTGGCGTCGATTGTCGTCGATCTCGCGTCCATTAGCGTCGACACGCAAGAGCCGACAGGATGGTATGGGAGGCTCCCCTGAGTTGCCACCGAACGCTGTTTGGCCCTCCACCCCCCGCGAGCAGCCCCTCGCCAGCGGCCGCGGCCCTCTGCCGCGGCATGTCCGACGCGTCGGGCGAGGAGTGGGTGGACGGCGCGGAGGACCGGGCGCGCGCGGGCGTTCTGGGGCCGAAGAAGAGGAAGACCGAGCACGGAAAGGAGGGGCACAAAGACCGGCAGCAATGCGATCCTGTTCCTTTGGAACCGGATTCGCTGTCGGTGTCGCCGCGGCCTGTGGCCGTTTGAAGCAGAAGGCCGCCTGCCCGGCAGCGGCCGCTGCTGGTTGGGGACGACATCAGTTGCTGGGCGCTGTGCCGATGTGTGTTCCGTGTCTATCTGGGGCGTCCAACAAGACAGCAGGGCTCGACCCACGGTCGGGACTCTTTGCTCTGCGTGTCGCGACGCTGGTTCTGGCCCACCGCGCTTCGGCGCGGCACGCTGTCCTCGGAACCCGAAAAATCCCATAGCATTGTGGAAGTCGATTGTTGGAGAGGAAACATGCTGCCAAATGGTTTCCAGATGTCTACAGGATGTTTCAAGCATGTTTTAAATATTTCTTTAAAAGGAGAAAACATGGCTGAAACATTTTTAGACCATGTTTTACACACTTTGAACGCACCTTTAATTCAATGGTAGGATTATTAGAGTGTTCATTGTCATGGCATCCACGAGCATAGCATGCACTTTTCGAGCTCCGCGCGAATTTCCTGGATCGGAACTGTGCCCCCCTGGCGGCGCTTCAGGCGCCGCCCCTGGCGCGTGCCGCGCGCCATGGAGGGGGTTCCAGCGTCAACCCAAGAAATCCGCACGAAGCTACCAACAGTCACGTCATGTATTCCTCAAAATCCTTTCCCAGCCACCCATCGTCAACGTACGTCCCGAGCCTTTCCGAGCCTCCTGCCCCGTGGAGCGGAGCGACACGCTATCCACTCGCAGGGCACAGAGTGTCGCCGGGCCCCCCGCCGCGATACGCTAAGCAAAAGCTCTTGGCCGTACACTGTTTTTTTTGGTTTCGTGGGCCGCTTCCGTGCTGATTCAGCCTCTGTAGCAAAAGGCGGCACGAGGACACAACGAGGGACGTCGGGGGAAGGAGAAGCAGCACCACCACCAGGGGTGCCACCTCGAAGGAGGACGTGTCAGCGATGCCTCCCCGAGCGAGGGAGAGGGGCGGGCTCGAGCGAGGACTGGGGGACCACACCGCCGGGGGGGCCCCCCTCGGCTCCTCCCGCTGGTGGTCCCTGGTGGTGGTGCCGCCTGCTCCTTCGTCGGAGGATGCGGAACCAAGAGAGAGCGAGCGAGCACAAAGGCAAAACGAGCACGGAAAACATTTCTCAGCTTTGAGTTGGGCATGTCCCTCTACAAGAGCAATATGATGCGCATCACCGTGACAAGAGTTTCTTTCGATCTGCCTTCGCCAATCGCGCATCCGCGCGGAGTAGTTCGGAGTAGAACTACTCCAACTACTCCGCGCGTGGGCGCATCGCGCTCGATGACTTATGGGGTTTGGAGCGGGGTCGTTTTTTTTAATCCGGTTTTGGGTAACAGAGTTATAGCATTAAGCGGGTCCGAAACTACTCCGCCGAATGACACAGCCATCATGCCATGTTAGGAATATTGAAGGGGGCATGAGATATCATCAGCATGGCAAAGTGAAGAAATTGTTGCTCCGGCTCTAAATGCAAAACGTACAAACATAGTCAGGGACTTCTTTTTTTGTTTGGGGGGACATTCTTGCGTTTTTGTTGCCATGCTTGATCTGTCTTCCAAAATCCGCCTGCGGGAGGACATGCCAGACTTGAGTTCAGGGCGAGCCTTAGCAGGCCGCCCTGCAGAAGCCTCAGCAGGGAGCGCCGTTCGTCCGCGAGAGGGGCGGCCCCGGCAGAGGGCCTTGGCATCGCTCGGACGTGTGCTCTGTTCTTTCTCGGCGAGGGCAATCGAGGAGCATCCTGGACCATCGAGCAAAAAAAACACGCACAACATAGAAACATGCACGGGGAGTGGACGTCCGAGCGATGGCAAGGGGTGGGGGGGGGGGGGAGGTTGGGGGCCGGGGTGGCCCATGGCGCGGGTTCGATAAGGGGAGGGGGGAGGCTCGAGGCGTTGGGCTCGAGAGGCGGCTTTTGGTGTTTGTTTTTGCTGTTTTTTTAGGTTTCCGTGGGCCGTGGTCGGGCTCGGGAACGCTCAAGACGGGTCAGGGGGGAAGAGCTGCACCTTGTGGACTCCGGGAAAGCGTGAGAAACAACAAGTGTGATAAAAGTGTGATTGAACACGAGTGGGATTACATGTTGTTTATCACACGTGTTTTTTATCACCCTTGTTTTCTCAATCAATTGTGTATCACACTTGTTTTTGTTCACGCTTGTTTTTATCATACTGGTTCTGGGGAGTGATTCGGAGCGGAGTTGCTCTTCGCCCCCCTCCTTGACTGCTTGCGAAGATCTCACGGCGGGCGCTGCCGACCTCTAATGGCGACGACGACAACGACGACGACGACGACGACGACGACGACGACGAGCGTTCTCGGGGGGCACCAGGCGGACTCGGGGAGGGTTTCTGGGAATTGCTTCGGAGCGGACTTGCTCTTAGCCCCCCTCCTTGACCCATTGCGAAGGCCTTACGGCGGGCGCCGCCGACCCTGACGGGGGACGACGGCGACGACGACGACGACGACGACGACGACGACGACGACGACGACGACGACGACGACGGCGGCGGCGGCGGCGATGACGACGGCGCTGACGCTCTGGAGCTGAAAGCTTCTCCCAGTAAGGGCTGCTCTCCCCTCAGGAGAAGCTAGAGGAAAGCTTCTCACAGGGGGGTGTCACAATCCTCGGGACTCCCACCCCTCTGCCCCCTCGGACCCCCCGCTCATCTTTACCCATTCTCTCGGAGCCCATCCGGCGCAGACCCCCTTGGCCGCCTCCAAGGGGGGGGGAGGTCGGACGGGGCCAGGACGAGGAGTTCGATGGTCCCAGAGCATCCAGGAATGCTCGCAGAGCGCTCCGGGACGCTCTGAGGAGGCCGCGACGCTTGGGCGCCAATGAATGGGGGGCGGCAAACATGGGAGGGGAAGAAGGCCCCTGCTGGGGAGGAGGAGGAGGAGGAGGAGGAGGAGGAGGAGGAGGAGGAGGAGGAGGAGGAGGAGGAGGAGGAGGGGGGGGAGGGAGGAGGGAGGAGGAGGGAGGAGCAGGAGGAGGAAGAGGAGGAGGAGGAGGAGGAGAAGAAGAAGAAAAGGAGGATGAGGAGAGGAGGAGGAGGGAGGAGGAGGAGGAGCAGGAGGAGGAGGAGGAGGAGGAGGAGGAGGAGGAGCAGGAGGAGCAGGAGGAGGAGGAGGAGGAGGAGGAGGAGGAGGAGGAGGAGGAGGCGGAGGAGCCCTAGCTTGTCTTTTGGGGGGTGGGGGGGCGGGGCCTCCCGCCTCCCAGGGGGAGCCCCGAGGCGGCCTGCGGCACAGGCAAAGACCTGCGGGCGCCCTTGCGGAGCCTCTCGGAGCGACTCTGGAGAGCCCCCTGCCGGCGCGCGGAGCGCGCCGCGGCCAGACCTCCTCGCGTTGTGGAGACAAATCAGGCGATCGCAGACATAGATCCAGGGGGCGTGAATTCGCAACGGGTCCAGTTCCCATGGGAGTCGCAGATTTCCGCCGCCGAGCGAGGCGGCACCGGCCGCATCTTGGGAAGGGCCCCCCCCCGATCCATGGATTTGGCGCCCGCGCGCCAAATCCATGGATCGCTAGTCCATGTTTGCGCGCCCCCGAACAAATCACGACGTGTGGTTTTTCGCGATCCTCGGCCTATGTCAGGCCGTGGCGAAGCGTCCCAGCTCGCCTATAGGCCTTCCAAATAATGTTCTAAGATGGTCTGCGCGAGATGTTCTTAGAGCATGTCTGGCTGAGACTGTCTTGTTTTAACACATCGGGCTTATGTTCTAAGAACATTGTTTTTGTTCTTCGGACATTTTGGGTTCTAAGAACACTTTGTGGTAGGCCTATAGGAATGCCGGGAAAGTCGGTCCCTGCTCAACTCTAGGGGCCCTCGCTGGGCCTCGGGACCGTCCAAAAACGATTCAGGATGAAAAACCCGTGCCCCTCGAGTCACGAAAAAAAACACGACGGGAGTTGTTTCGCCATCTTCGGCCTCTGGGGGCCCTCGCTGGGCCTCGAAACTGTCGAGAAACGGCTCAGGAGGAAACACCGGTCCCAGGGAAGGGGCCGAGACCTTCGGGAGCCGAAGCTATGACAAACTCATGACGTCGGTGGCCTGTGGGGAGCAGGGGTCGGTGGTTCAAAGAAGGGGTCCTGAGGGATGGGGTCCAGGGGTGGATTTGCATTGTTTTAGGCACCTCGTCCTCGGGCCCCCATGCCCCAGGGCCCCATCTTTGAACCACCGAGGGGGTTCAGCGCCGAGCCAAGAAATCCGCGACGGCCTCCGACCGCCCGACCGTCTATGGTTATGCATACAGTGTGAGCTCGACCATAAAAAGCCTTCCGCAAGAAACCCAACCGTGAGACCCCAGGATGTCCATTGATTTTTGGGATGGGGACGTCACGCTTTCCATCGTAGAACCATCGAGACCCAAGAAACCCAGGGTACTTTGGAGGCAAGCAGGGTGCTTCCTGGCATGGGTTACCACTGTATTCTCAACTGTCCGCGCGGATCTCTTGGATCGGCGCCGCGTTCCCTCCGGCGGCGCCTCCAGCGCCGCCCTTGGCGCGCTCCGCGCGCCAGAGATTTCAGATTTCAAGCAATCCGAGCGGACCGTGAACAGTGAGTGTGTTATGCGTTCTTTTTTTCTCTATATAGGGGGAGGATCCCTCGCCGATCCCTGGTGCCCAGACACAAAGTGTCCACGCCCATATCTATGGCGTGGAGACAATCGGGCATTGTGACAACCACAGCAGCATATCACAGTTGCCTTGAACTCGTGCCCCAAAACCCAAAGTTGAAGTGCAAATGTGATATCCTCCGTGCGTTGCCGCACGCCCAATTCTCAATGCTTCGCACATGTCCACCAGCCCACGCAGGAATGATGCCTAGCGCCAAGGGAAGCTACCATTACCGGGGGAGCGTGGTACTATTTGGATACATCGGGGAGCCTCATTGAGCTAGAGGCCTCATGGATACCCTGAGTCGCCTGGAGTGCCTCCTGGGGGTCTTTTGGTGGCCTCTCAGGGCGTCTTGGGGGCCTCTTTGGGCGTCTTGGGGGCTTCATGGGGGCACCCTAAATATCCCTACCCTGCGAAGGGATCGCGGAACGCGCGCGCATGATCCAGATTCTGCCGCAAATTGCGTGTGCGTGGTACTTCTGCGACAAGGGGCGATGTGCCTGCGCGCAGCAGGCAGTATGATCGTGGCCAAGACAGTGCAACAGTGCAGCAGGAAGGAGGCCGAGTGTCGGAGCAGCGCCCTTCCGACGAGCGGTCTACAGTGGGGCGGGCCGTGAGAATTTCAAGACCTTTGAACACACTTGAGGAAATCAATGGTTTTGGCCTCCTTGGGATCTCTAGGAGGGCCTCTTAGAGACCTCTTGGGCCGTCACAGGGGGGCTTCTTGATTTGTCTTTGTGTCATCTTAGCGTCCTCTTGGCTGCCTTGCAAGCCGTCCTACAGGCCATGAGGCTCCCAAGAAGCCCTCAAGACAGATCAAGCGGCCCCGAAGACGGCCCAAGAGATCTTCAAGTTGAGGTTCTGGCCTTTTCGTGTTTCCGATCGTCCACGACGGCCCAAGAGGCTTATTTGGACCGTCTTGCTTTTCTCTTGGAGCGCTTCAAGACCGTCTTGGGGCACTCTTTGGAAGCCCCTTGGGTGATCTTTGGGTCCTCTTAGGCCGACTTGGGACCCTCTAGGGGGCCTCCTGGGATGTCTTGGAGCTATCTTGGAGGCCTCTCGGAAGCCTCTTGGGCCGTCTTGCTGGGTGTTCAGAACCCCGAACAGGCGAGATCTTCAAGAACTTTCAAAACCTGAAGCCCTCGGGCTCTTCAGGAAGGCCTCTTGGAACTCTCTCGGGCAGTATTACGGGCCTCTTGGGCCGTAGTGAGGCCCTCCCCATGCTATCTTGAGCCGTCTTAGGGGCTCTCTTGAGAGGCTCCTGAGCTGTAGTGGGCCATCTTGAGCCGTTTTGTTGTCAGCTTGTCTGTCTCGGACGACGTCTTGGAGGCCATCTTGGCCGTCTGGAGGCCGAACAGACCGCCACAAAGCAATTTCAAAAGGGGCGATTTTCGCGGGGCACGCGCAAAGGGGGCCTCTAACACTTTAGAAGCCCTCCCAGACAACAGACGAGCATGACGGAAAGAGCGCTAGCGAGAGAAGTTCTGCATAGGGCTGGGGGGGGTCTGGGGGGGGGGGGTCTGGACCGGGCTTTTTTCTAACACGCTCTCCGGGGGTTCTAACACGACCTCCGGGGGCCGTGTTGGCGGCTTTTTCGGCCCAGGACGGTACAAGAGACCACCGAGAGGCCCGAAGACGGCTTAAGATACCTCCAAGACGGTCCAAGAGGTCCCAAGACAGCCCAAGAGCGCTCCAAAAGGGGCGAAGATGGCCCCAAGATGGTCCAAGAAGCCCCCCAGACGGCCCAAGAGGCTCCCACGAGGACTTCCAAGAGCCAAAAACATTGATTTCCGGAAGGTTTTTGGAGGATGTTCGGGCTCTCGCTGTTTCCTAACAAAAACGGCCACACACGGCCCTGGGGGCCTCCGAGGTCGCCCCAAAACGTCCCCAGAAGCCCCCAAACTGTCCACGAGCGCCTCAAGACGGCCCAGGAGAGCCCCAAGACGAACCAAGGAGGGCCGAGGCCCAAGAGCCTCCCAGGAGAGGCCCAAGGGAGCCACAGGAGGCTCACAAGAGGGCCCCGAGAGCGCCCCAAGCCGGCCGAAGCCCCCCAAGACGGTCCAAGAGGGCCAAGGAGGGCCCCACAGAGGCCCAAGAGCCTCCCAGGAGAGGCCCAAAGGAGCCACAGGAGGCTCACACGAGGGCCCCGAGAGCGCTCCAAGCCGGCCCAAGCCCCCCAAGACGGTCCAAGAGGGCCCCAGAAGGCCCCCAAACGTCCCAAAAGACCTTCAATAGGCCTCCAAGAGGCACTCCGAGATGCCTCCAAGAGCCGCTTACGAGGCCCCACCAGAGCGAACCGTGCCGTCAAACACTCTGACCGCCAAGGCTCCTCGGAGCGGACGGTGACATACCACCACGGCCGCCGTCCTACCGTGACTCGCACTCCAGTTTGCTCCAACAAGCATGCATGGCAATCCTTGTGTCCAAATCGCTGCCGCGTGCACGGCCGCCGAACCCCCGAGACCGTGTGAAATATCCGCTCCACGGACCCGCTCTTTCCATTCCCATGCCGGCCCAGGTTCTAACACGCCCACTCCGTGCAGACACGGTGGCAGATTGTTTCATGGACGCGGATGGTGGACCTGCGAACAGCAGGCAATATGCTGGATTGCCCCCTCGTCCCTGTGCCGCGCATGATCCATATCTTGCCGCAGCGTGAATTTTCCATCGTTTCTGACAGGGGTGGTTGGGGGTGTCATAGTGCCAGGTTTCCGCCCCCGCTCAGGGTGCGGAGGGATTGGAAGAGGAAAAAGATTCAGTGGGACTCCGTCAAGGTTTTGGGGGGGGGAACGGGGGCAATCTCCAATGTTCTGTCGCCGCGCTGTCTTTACGCGATCAGGTCCAGGGATGGAGGCCGTCTTCTTTTCCCAATGCTGTTCTCGTTCTAACTCCGCGCACATTCGTCTTACAAGTTTGCGCCAGTTTCGGTGGTTCCTATAAATGAAGTCCAAGGCGTTCCAGCACGGTTCTGCATTGTCCGGACGCAGCAGTGACATGGATCAGCGGTGTTGAAGTCCCAGGGATGGTGTTCAGGCGCGGTTCAGGATTGCCATTTCGAATTTCACGTTGATCCGTCCCGCTGGAATCCTTGGAATTGTGCTTTGGCACGATTGAGGATTCTAAAACGGTTGTCTTCTACTGGGCCACATCCGTCCAGTTCTCTCAGTGAAGATCTACTGTGGTATCGGACTTTTGAAGAGGGAACTCGGAGGGAGCTCTTATTTGTAGCATCGTTGATGCCTCTTGGGTTTACACTGGCCCCCGTTCTCCTCCTCTCGTCCCTCACCGTTCATCCCTCCCTCTCCCCCGCGCGCGGGCGCGCGGGTGGAGGCTGCGAGCGCAGGCGTCACGGGAGCTCGGGTGAAAGCACTTGGCTGGGGATGGACTCCAGCTGGTGTCCACGGGGGCCGGTTCTGAGCGGACTGGTTCGGCGGCAAATCATGGGAGTTTAGTATACCCTCTGAATTCCGTCTTTCGCCTCGATGAGCTTCGAGTAGCGTCTGGGAGATGAGACAGCGCCGATTTAGCGCAGGCTAGCGTCGATTAGCGTCGATCTAGCGTCGATCAGCGTCGATTCAGCGCCGATTTAGCGTCGATCCAGCGTCGATTCGCGTCGATTCGCAAGAGCCGACCAGATGGTAGGGGGAGGCTCCCGTGAGCTGCCACCGACGACTCGTCGGGGGCAGGACGGGCCAGCCTCTCTGCGCGGGCATGGGCCTCTCGGCTGCCCTCCTGCCCTCGGGCCTTCCTCCTTGGGGGGCTCCCGGGTTCCATCGGCTTCCTCGGCAAGCGAGCAAGGCTTCCGGGGGCGGCATAGGGGGGGGTGGTGGCTAGGGGGGGGGGTTGGACATCATGGCGGGGGCCATGATATTTCCCCAGATTTCATGGTGCCTCTTCTTATTTCATTGCGTCCCTGCCCCCCCCCCCCAAGGGCCGCGCACATGCCGCTGGCCATGATTTGCACCCCCTCCCCCTCTTGGACGCCCCCCCTCTTGGCCGCCCCCGAGCCCTAAACTAAAGTGCACGGGCACGGACGCCGGAGGTCCGCACGGAGCTCCTGTGTCGGCGCGGACACCTCCGGCGCCGCCCCCCTGGCGCACCCTGCGCGCCTGGAGAAGGGTGTTCAGCGCCGACCCAGGCAACGCGCGCGGTCGTCCGAGAGTTTGGTCGGTGCAGTTCCTCGGCGTGGCTCGGACGTGTGCATTCTGTCTCGGCGAGGACCATCGAGGAGCCTCTCTGATCATTCAGCGGAGAATAGAGGCACGAAGTCGAACAATGCACGGGGAATGGACGTCCGAGCGATGGCGAGGTTCGTCGAACCTCTATGAGGGGTGCTGCCCCTCGCCTCTTCCATGGGTCCCTTGGGGGGCGCTGCCAACAGGACGAGGGTGGTCCGTGCGCGAAGATCCAGTCCTCTTGCGCAATGATGAGCATTGGGCTTGTCCTGTTCCCCCTCTCCCTGTATATGGTCGGCTGGAACGAGAACAACTACGTGTGTGAGAAGACTCGAATCCTCTTCGCGGGGGACAACGCCGAAGAATTGGGATGTGACAGTAGAGGCGTGAGCAACCAGTTCGGATATTTCTCATGTGGTCTAGACCCTGCGTCGTTTCGTCCCTGGACTGCGGAGGATTTCTTGTTGGATAAAGGCGGAGACAACGCGTTCTATGCAGCGAACTCGAAAGCTTTGAATAGCGTTCAGTTCAGCGCCCTTTCTGCACGCATGGTCGCAGAAGTTCGACAGTGCAAGAAGGAATGCACCACAAAAACGGTGAAGGTGAACGGTAAGAACACAAAGACCCCAAAGTGCACCTACACGCTGGTGTGGTCAGACAAGGTGCTGGACGTCATCACAGGGCCCGAGGGAGGGCCTCCTGGACCTCCTTCTGACGCCAGGAAGAGCTGCCCTGGCTTGAAGAGATACCAGGGGTCGGCGCACGTCCCCAGCGCAATCTCGGATAAGCTGGGACAGCAGACCCAGTTTTCCGAGGAAGTCCGGACCCAGGAGGTAAACGAGGCCAAGGCCTTCAAGCTGAACGCGGACCTCGTGAGGATGGTGCTCCCGACGGAGGAGGCGCACGCCGCAATCTACATGCCCGCCGCGGCGCAGGGAGGGCCCCAGGCGCTGGACTGCAGCGCGGTGGAGTCACTGGTCGGTTGCGTGAGGCTGCGATTCGAGAAGAGCACGGCCACTTCCGTGTCGGTGTTCACCCACGTGGTTGCGGACGGAGAGACGGAAGCGCAGAGGATGCCCTCTGCCTGGGGTTGCCCAGGGAAGCCGTGGCAGGCGCTCCAGGAGGGCATCCTGTCCAAGGATGCCGCCGTGCAGGCCCTGAAGGATGCCAACGCCGCGCAGGTGATCCTGTTGCGGGTTGGGTTCGTTGTGCTGGCCTGGGTGAGCGTGTACTGCGTATTGTCCCCCATCTCCGCCATAGCCGAGCTGTTCGGGGGCCTCGCGAACATGATCCCGTTCGTCGGGGGGTACCTCGAGGACTTCATCGAGGGCGTGGTGGACGCCGTCCTGTGCGCCATCTCGTGCAGCGTCGGCCTCTCCTGCTCGTTCTTCGTCATGGGCGTGGTCTGGCTCTTCATGCGGCCCCTCTACGGCGCCGGCATGCTGCTCGTGTGCGCGGCGCTGTGTGCCTGCGCATGCCTCGTGCGCCAGCGGGCCGGCGCGCCCCGGAAGCGGCAGGCGCGCGAGGTCTCGGCGGGCGGGACCTGCCTGGAGATGCAGCCCTCCCCGCCGCCCGCCGTGGCGGCGGCGGCTGTGCCGATGGCGGCGCAGCCCATGGCGCAGCCGATGGTGGGCCCGGCGATGAACTCCAGCTACGCGCCGCCGGCGATGGCGGTGCAGCCCCTGGCGCAGCCGGTGCTGGGGCAGCCAGTGGTGGGTCAGCCGATGATGGCGGCGCCCATGGCGGTCGCCCAGCCGCCGGTCGCGCAGGCCGTCGTGGTGCCTCCGCCAGCCATGATGCAGGTCGCTTGCCCCGCGAACGTGGGGCCGGGGCAGGCGATCTTCGTGCTGGCGCCCGACGGGCGGCAGTTGCAGGTGACCGTACCTGCGGGCGTGAGCCCGGGCATGCAGTTCCAGGTGCAGGCGTCGGTTGCGCGCAAGAGCGGCCTGCTGGAAGGACCTTTGGTGCGGGCCCGCAGGGTCGGAGCCGGCTGGGGGTCTGAGGTGGCCCAGCATTGGCTCTGGCGAGCAGGAAGAGGAGGGGTCAAGGTTCGAGGTGATGGGTCAGGCAAGATTTTTTATAGCGTCCGGGAGCCCTTTTCGAGATCCAGGTGAAAAAATACACCACATGGACCCTGGGAGGGGTTTGGGGGCCGATTTTGAGCGGATTTGGCTTCATCCTCCCTCCTGACCGGTTTTCTGGGGTCCCAACCAGTTCAGACCCCCCGGCCGTCTCCAACCCGCAGGGGTCCCGCCAGCAGTGGCCTGTGTGCGCAGACCTGGCCCCCCAGCAGCCCCAGCAAGCCGCGCACCAAAGGTCACTCTTGCCTGGGGTCGCTCGTGCGTGCTGCCGAAGGTGTGAGGCATGGCGGGCTGGCGTGTGCATCTCTGCGGCGAACAAAAAACGGCATACACGTAAAAGCTTGCGGAGTCTCGGCGCGACCTTCTCTTTGCGCCCCCTGGGGGGTACCTGATCTTCGCCCGACCCGATCGTCGTCTGGCCTCTGGGTCAAAGCTCAGGTCTTCGGCGGCCACTCGGGACGAGCCGGGCACTTTCTGAGAACCTTGGCGTCGCTCGGACGTGTGCGGTTTTTTCCCCGCGGGGACCATCGAGGAGCCTTTTGGGTCATCTTGCGAAAGAATGCGCGCATGCCCGTGGTAGTAAAGTGCCCCCCTCCTTAACCCCTGAGTCATGATGGTCCATGGGGAACTCATATGTGGTAGGCGGGCGGAGCGGCGAGGCCGAACTTTCTCCCCACCAGGGGAAGTACGAATCGCACATTGGATCATCTTGTCATGCCCATCCGTTGCTATCATCATCAGCATCCTCTGTCACCATGATCACCCTCTCGTGGGCCCCCGTTCTGGCACACCCCTCGCACGGCTCGTGGCCCCCGGACTTCACCCATCCCCATGGTGTGATTATCACCGGCACGGGGCCACACGCACGAGGCCGACAAGTGCACGGGGAAGGTCAGGAGGGGAAAAACACACAGACACAAGTAATCGTCGATTCCCAGGAAAATATGGAAGAACATTGGAAGTTGGGGGGGAAGACAAAAACCGAGAAAATATGGGAACATCAGGGGAATTAGTTTGTTTGTGTGTATTTATTTGTGTGCCTCAGGGCCCCTTCAGAAGGGACGTCCGAGCGATGGCGAGGAGCGCTCCTGGGCGGGGCGCGCCATAGCTGCCAGGAAGCACCTCGCCCGACGCCGGAGAGAAGGCGGCGGAGCACTGCCGAGGACCTCAGGCCGCGGATGCTGCCTGGATCTCGGCCCCTGGGCTCCCTGGCGCGCTCCGACGACGACGACGACGACGACGACGACGACGACGATGACGACGACGACGACGACGACGACAACGACGACGTCATCTCCAGAGGGGGTGTCTAGCGCCGATTTCGGGGCTCAGGGGACGGGGGACACTGCAAATAGGGCTCAGTCAGAGCGCCGGATTTTGCAGGATCCTGCAGGGCCAGGGCTGCATTGACCCGGGTTTGGGTGCAGGATCCTGCGGGATCTTGCAGGATCCTGCAAAGCCTGACCTACCAGTGTCTAGATTGACCCAGGTCAGTAGATCCCCGAAGATTCAGGAATTCTGCGCCGATTTACGCCCACTGACATCCTTTAGGGGAGGCGAGGATTACTGAACGGATGGATTTCGGTACGCCAGGACACCGAAGTTCTTGAGTTCAGTGATCCTCGCCTCCCCAGTCGCCATGGAGACGCTCAAGGGCTAGATCGCTGAACTGAAGGATCTCAGGGTGCGCACGATGCAAGATTTCCGCTCGGACCTCCGAGAAGTCGGGTTTTGCCGTTTCTTGTTCCCCCATTTCCAGGCCTCCCAGCTCAGGTCCGAGCAGACGGGGCCAGAGGATCGATAGGCAATGCGGTTCGATGTGGAGCCCGATTTTCGCCACCCCGACGTCGCCGACGCATTGCTGACGTCGCCAATGCATCGCCGAGGCATCGGTGATGCATCAGCGATGCGGCGCGCTCCTCCGCCCCCACCTACTCTGACCCCATTTGGGAGGCCTCTGGGTGTGAGGCCTAGCGGTCTGTGTGCTATTTGTCAGAGGGTCGGGACTCGAGTTCGCTGGAACTCTGGTTTGCCGACGCCTCTTGGCGGGCCCGTCCCGAATCTTTGATCGGTCCAGTGTGTGTGTGGGATGCATGCAGCGGGAGTTCGCGTCCACAGCTGGAGCCTCGTCATGCTCCTGACGGCCACGCCCAGCCAGCCCGAGCCCCCCAAGCCCGAGTCTTTCCCCCCAGAGATCGGGGCGTTGCCACTGCCTCACGCCTGCCGTTCTCGCCACCCCCCCCTGTGGGCCCCGCGGGCGCTGCAGCTCGACCCGGCCCGAAAAAAAAGCCGCAGACTGATGGGGCCCAGGGCTCCAGTCGTGACTCTTCGCGACGTTTCCTGCTGGTCGACCCCGGGCCCCCGACGTCGTGATGCTTTCACAACGTCGACCCCCAGAGGTCTGGACCCCTCTCCAGGGACGGGTCTTTCATCCCGAGTCGTTTCTCGGCGGTCCCAGTTCCCAGGAAGGGCCCCCAGTGCCACCCACCACCACTGAGCCATGCATCCGGCAGGACGCGTGGGCGGAAGAGTGCACGAATGGCAACTCCTCGGATAAACCATGATTAACAGATGCGATAATGCGGCACGCCATTGAAACGGTGAATGTGTGGCGGGGCCTCGGCCGAGAACGGTAAGTGTGTGGAGGGCCCCCGGAGGCCGAAAAAGGCGAAAAACGCCTCCCGTCGCGATGCTGTCTCACAGCGCGAGGAGGTCTGGGTCGGAGCTCCCGGGCTTGGTCTTCGGAGCGGCGGCCCTCGCCGCCGCGGGCGGGGCTCGGCTCGGCAGGAGCTGGTGCGGTTGTGGGCCCCTGCGGGAGGGTCGGGGGTGGGCAGACCTCCTACCCTGACACGTCGATTAGCGGCTTGGCGGTTTTCGGTTCGCGAGAGGGCGTGGCGGCCATCATTGTTGCGGGTCCAGGTCCGTCGGGTTCGGTGCCAGGCCGTGTTCACGAAGGGGAGGTTTGCTAAATGGAGGTTTGTCCACCGCCGATTCGGGAGGGGTCCTGTGATCGATGCCGAGCTCCGTCGTCGTCTCAGCTCGCCGGGCTCCTGATGTCAAGTCGGGCCTGTCCCTCTACAGGTGGAATGTTCCAAACATATCATGAAAATATAGTCCAGGGACGATGTTTCGACTGCTGCTGTGTATTCTTGAATCGTTGTTTGATGATTTGTCATTCTTCCTCCAAGTTCCGCCTGTAGGAGGACATGCCCGACCTCATCCTAACTTTGGAACAGGCAGGGGCAGCGACAGGGGGGGCCTTGCCCGGGGAGGCGCATCGACCTCCATGACGAACCAACAACACACACCCATACCCATAGAGGGGTCGGAGAGGGCTATGGGTGCGTGATGTCGGATGGGGGTCCCCGCTCGAACGGGAGCGTTCCCAAGGGTCCGACAACCCGCACCCATACCCATAGCCAGTTCTCCTCCCAACGACCCCCCTATGGGTATGGGTGTGTGTTGCTCGTTCGTCACTCCAATGGTCCATTCCTCGCCGGTCGTCGCCCGAGCCAGCGTCCCCCTGGGACGCGCGCGGCTGTCGGCCAGGCCTCGGGGACCTGCCGCCGATCTGGCGGCGACGCATCGCCGGTTCCAGGTCGGTGTATCCCCCCCCCCCGAGCAGGGCCCCCCCATCCCGTTGTCGCCCCCCCCCCCCCACACAGGGGCAGGCGGAGCAGGAGTCGTGGAGGAGCAGGAGTCGTGGAGGAGGAGGAGTCAGGAGGAGGAGGAGGAGGAGGAGGAGGAGGAGGAGGACTCTTTGACTCTTTGATAGCGGACGCTGTCCTGGATTACGCACGTGCTTCATTCAGCAGCCCCTGGGGGCGCAGGAGGAACACGAGCCTCCGCGCCCCCAGGGCCAGGCGCCGCAGGAGGAACACGAGCCTCCGCGGCGCGAGGCTGCCGCTGGGCGCAGGAGGAACACGAGCCTCCGCGCCCAGGGCAGCGAGAGCCGCAGGAGGAACACGAGCCTCCGCAGCGCGGGGGCGCAGGAGGAACACGAGCCTCCGCGCCCCAACGCCCGACGTGCCGCGGGACGGCATTCAAAACTCGGCCGTCTTCACGTGCGACGTCCCGAGCACCTCGGAGGACTCCACCACGGTGACAGCCTCGCCATTGTCCCACATCTGCGTCGCCTCGAAGCCCGCGTCGAAGACCATCTCACAGACGGCCAGATGCGTAGCTTGAGCCGCCGCCAGCTGGGACTCCAGCTTCAGCTCGGTGCGCGCGGCAGCCTGAACCATCTTTCTGGCCTGGTCGATGGTCAGCGGCTGGGCAGCAGGGCTCTTCTCCTCGACCTCCGCCTGGATGTCGAAGTCCTTCACGGCCACCTTCTCGTCGCTGGTATCGGGAACCGCGGCCTCGCCCGCCATCGGTACGACCCCGATCAGCTTCATGCCCTCAGTGAGCTCCAGCTCCGAGTGCGAGGCGGCTCCAACAATGCCGTCCTTAGCACCGCGCCGCCGCCCCCGCTGCCGTCGCTTGGCCTCCTTGCCGTCCTTGGGCAGCGCCTCCGCGCCCTCCCCGAACAGGCAGTGCTCCGCCACGTTCCTCAGCGCCTTCACCCCGCCGTCGATGGCGGGTGGGGACTCGTCGTGCGCCGCCACGACCTTCGCGCGCAGGACGGGCTGGATGGCCTCCAAGCGCGCCTGCACCTCGGCGTCCACATCCTTCACCTCCTCCTGCATGTTGCCGGCCTCGGCACGGGCCGCGCGCCAAAGGGCGACCGCCGTGGCCGCCACCACCTGGCGCGAGCCGCCAGCCCGAACAACCACGCTGAGGAGCGCCGACGCCGTCGCATCGGCCATGACCGCAGCCACCTCGCGAGCAGGGGCGAGCAGGCTCGTGAGCCAAAATGGCTACGGAGGAGGAGGAGGAGGAGGAGCAGGAGCAGGAGCAGGAGGAGGAGGATAGGAGGAGGAGGAGGAGGAGGAGGAGGAGGAGGAGGAGGAGGAGCAGGAGGAGCAGGAGGAGCAGGAGGAGCAGGAGGAGGAGTATAGGAGGAGGGAGTCAGGAGGAGCGTACGCTGCAGGCTGGTGCCTCGCAGCCTGCCCAATAGAACAAGTCCGGAGGAGGGGGAGCGCCTCCGGCGGCGTGTGCTCCCGATCCGCCGTCCGGGCGCCCAGACTGCTGAGTTGATGCTCAGGGGCGCTCTCGGAGACTGCTGGTTTAATACAACGTTGCCCAGTCGCTTCTGGAGTGCGAGGGGGGGGCGCCTCGACGAGAGACACACTGCTTCGGAGAGGCGCCCCTCCGCCTCCGCCCCGCCCCGCCTGCTTTTCCTCCTGCTCCTCCCCGAGCAGGGCCCAGGGGCCTGGTCACGACGGCCGTGCACGCGCACGTGGCCGCCCTCCCCCCCAGCCGGGTCGAGCCGCGTCGGGGGGCGTCGCGAGGCCTCTGCAAGACGTCCATTGCCCTGCACAGCGGAGGCCCGTGCCAAGAAGCACCCCGCTTGCCTCCAGGGTGCCCTGGGTTTCTCGGGTTTCGATGGTTCTGCGGCGGAGGGCGTGACGCGCCCACACCAAGAATCAGTGGACGTCTCCCTGGGTTTCTTGTGGAAGGTTTTTTGTGGACTGGCCTCCACTGTAAGGCAGGACTTGTGTTCGATCTTCCGGCACGGTGGCTGGGGCGTGGGTGGTTGAGCGGGTGCGTCAAAACAGCGTGGCTCATGACAGCATGAAGCCCGAATCCCTATCCACGCGGGTCGGGGGTCAAGCGTGGGCCGCTTGCGTGACGGGCCAACCACATCTGAATGACAAGATGTTGTTGGTTTGGCCTGCTTGTGCAGTTTCTAACTGCGCAAGCAGACAGCAGCAACCACCATCGCGCCAACCAGCAATCGGCGGCAAGCCCGAGGGGTAGTGAGAAGGGGCGGGCCTTCTTAGAAGGCTTGGAAGTCCCCCCGCCGTCTGAGAAGTTTCCTAAGCCTTCCTCGGAGGCACAGAATACCTTCTCAGAAGGCGCGAGGGCTTCCGAGAAGTCCCGCCGCCTTCTGAGAAGGCATTTCCCCCATTGCCCGCCGCCGAATCCTGCTTCTCCCCCCTCCTCCTCGCCCACCATCCTCTTCCTCGCCCACACTGGTCATCATGCTTCCCTTTTGCCTCCCCCTCCTGATCCCGGCCCCTCCAGCGGGGAAGTACCCGCGAGAGGAGAAGAGCAGCCCAAGCAGGACCAGGAGGGCGAGGAGGGCGAGGAGAGGAGCAGCGGAAGCGGAAGGATCCGCGAGAGTAGAGAGGCAGCGGAAACGGAACCAGGCCCGTCGTGCAAACAGCCTGGCAGACCATCACTCTGCCGGCCGGGTGCAAGGCGGCGAGCAAGAGATGTGTCGAGGCTGGTGCTTCGCCCCGCGGCCGCGGCTCGGCCTGGCCCGCACCGACGCCGACGTCATCGCGACGTGGACCAGCCGTACATGGCGTGGGATCCCAGGTCCAGACCCTCTCGGGTCACGAGAAAATCATGGTGGGAGGTTTTTCGCTATCTTCGGCCTTTGGGGGTCCTCGCCGGGCTCCAGGACACTAACAAAGACGGCTCAGGACCAAAGAACGGGTCCTGGGAATGGGTCCAGTTCTTTCTGGGGGTCGGCGCTATGACAAAATCAGGATGTCGGGGGTGTGGGGAGGTCTCAACCCATTCCCCGGGACTGGCCTGTCATCCGCCGAGTCGTCTCTTGCCGGTCCCGGGGCCTGGCGAGGGCCCCCAGAGTTAAGTCGGGCCTGTCCCTCTACAGGGGGAAAATTCAAAAATATTTTAAACATAGTTTGGGTACTGTTGTTTGAATATGTTGGGGCATCTTTTGAATATGTTTGGAGTATTTTTTGTTGAAAATCCCCTTGTAGGGGGACACGCCCAACTTAACCCCAGGGCCCCAGAGGCAGAGAGCAGCCGCAGAAGCCTTATGTCGAGAGGTTGTCATGGCCCGAGGGGGTCTGGGGACCTTGCAGCGGCGCTCCTGGCTGACGCCCGTTCCTGAAGGGCGAGCCTGCTGTCCTGGCTGGCCGCCCCCCGCGCGGCCGACGGCCCGGACCGAAAAAGAATGAGGGCGGAGCGCCGCGCCGCCCCTCCGCCGGGGACGCCGCTCTCAGTCCTCATCCCTTCCCACCTCCTCCTCCTCCTCGATCCTCCTCGATCCTCCTCCTTCCCCCCCCCCCTCCTCCTCCCCCTCCTCCTCCTGCTCCTCCTCCTATCCTCCTCCTATCCTCCTCCTCCTCCTCCTCCTCCTCCTCCTCCTCCTCCTCCACCACCTCCACCTCCACCTCTACCTCGGCCCTGACCGAAAGAGTGATAGCGGAGCGCTGCGCCGTCTCTCAGTCCGCCCTCTCTCAGGGGCAACGATAGGGGAGGCAGGCAAGGGGGGTACGCATCATCGCCCCCCCCCATCGCCCAAGGATCGCCGATATGGGGCCCGATGGCCCCAATCCGTCCAGGAGGGGGCCCATCGCCGATCTATCGGCGATGTGTCGCCGATTCCAGGTCGCTGCACCCCCCATGCAGTGAAGACCCATGCCAAGAAACACCCTGCTTGCCTCCAGGGTGCCCTGGGTTCCCTGGGTTTCGATGGTCTTGCTGTGGAGAGCGTGACGCTCCCGCATCAAATGGACGTCCTGGGGTCTCGGGGTTGGGTTTCTTGTGGAAGGTTTCGTGTGGTCGAGGCCCTGCTCTATGCCAGTCCCCCCTCATCGCTGCCCCGTGCAGCTCCTGGGAGGGTAAGCTCAGCATCGGCGCTGGTACGTTCGGGGTCGAAGGCCGCTCATCCCGATACAATCGGGATTCATCTGGCTTAACTTCAGGAGGGGAAGAAACACACAGACACAATGAACCGTCGATCCCCAGGAACATGTGGGAACATATGGGAAGTGGGGGCAGGGAAAGACTGAAATCCAGAACCAAAAGAGAGAAACAATGTGGATAATCTTGGGATGTGTTATTTTATGGTGTGTTCTTGCGAAGACCTCCCAGGAGTTTCTTCCTGACTTCCTTTTCAAGGAGGACGGATTGCAACCCTTGGGCTTCGCTGCCAAGCCGCGGGTCACGCCAGGAAGCAATTTGCTGTGCTC